TTGTGTAATTGATGCACATGAAGTACCCAAATGACTTATTTGTACATGCATATTACATTTTGGCCAATTTCACTCCAAAATACTTACCATTTCTTCCTTCCTATGCCCAACTCCTTTCTCTCTATACTGATTGTCTTTCCCAGTGAAAATATCTCCTTCTTTAGTTTCACCATAGGAGAGAAAATGTCATGCTTTTTCTTTTGCATCTGACTTATTGTTCTTCACATGATGCTTTCTAGGTCAATCATTTTCCTAAGAATGACACAATATCACTTTTTTATGGATAAAAAATACACCTGTGTGTATATATACCACATTTCCTTTTTCTATTTTTTTTACTTTTTTAAAAAAATTGATTTTAAAAAAATAAATGAGAACAGAATGCATTACAATTTTTATTACACATATACAGCATAATTTTTCATATCTCTGGTTGTATACAAAGTATATTCACACCAATTCATGTCTTCATACATGCGCTTTTGATAATAATATCCATCACATTTCACCATCCTTGCTAACCGCTGCCGCCTCCCATCCCCTCCCACCCTCTGCCCTATCTAGAGTTTGTTGGTTCCTCCCATGCTCCCCCTCCCTACCCCACTATAAATCAGCCTCCATATATCAGAGAAAACATTTGGAATTGTTTTTTGGATTGGCTAACTTCACTTAGCTTTATCCTCTCCAACATCATCCATTTACCTGCAAATGCCATGATTTTATCCTCTTTTATTGCTGGGTAATATTCCCTTGTGTATATATGCCACATTTTTTTTTATTCATTCATCTACTGAAGGGTATCTAGGTTGGTTTCACATTTTAGCTATTTTGAGTTATGCTGCTATAAACATTGATGTTGCTGTGTCCCTGTAATCTGCTGTTTTTAAGTCATTTGAGTATACACCAAGGAGAGGGATAGCTGGGTTAAATGATGGATCCATTCCCAGTTTTCCAAGGAATCTCCATACCCTAATCTTTATCATGTGTGATTAGGCCCCAACTTCCTTAATAAAAACTCGTGTAGTGCAAGAATTAAAATTAAGAATCAATAAAAATAAATCAATAAAATAAATCAATAAAACTAAAAAGTTTCTTCTCAGCAAAAGAAACAATCTATGAGGTGAATAGATATCCTAAATCTTGGGAGCAAATTTTACTCTTCACACATTTTCTTTATTTATCTGTTGAGAAACACCTAGACTGATCCTATATCTTGTCTATTATAAATAGTCTCTTAAAAACATGGGTGTATACAGAATCTCTTGAGTATGCTGACTTTAATTGTTTCAACAAATACTGAGGACTGGTGTAGTTGAATCATACAGCAGTTCTAGTTTTACTTGTTTTTTGAATAACCTCCATAATGATTTACCTAGGGGATATAGTACTTTACGTTCCCACCAAAAATTTATAAGTGTTTTTTCTCCCCACAACCTCCCCAGTATTTATTATTTGCTTTCTGACTGGTGTAAGATGAAATCTCAATGCTGTTTTGATTTACCTTTCTTTGATGGTTAAAGATGTTAAACATTTTTTTTTCATATAGTGTTGGAGATTTGTACCTCTTTTTCTAAGAACTATTTTTTCTTTTTATTTGCCTACTTGTTGAATGGGAAATTTGTGTGTCAGGTGTTAAGAATTTTGAGTTCTTTATTCAGGATATTAGTCCTCTGTTAGAAGAGTAACTGGCAAAGACTTTCTCCCATCTGAAGACCATCTCTTTACACTGCAGTTGTTTGACTAGCCTTGCAGAAGATTTTTTGATTTCATGCAGGCCCACTCATCTATTGTTGCTGTTATTTCCTGAGCCATTCAAGAAGTCAGTGCCTATGCCTATTTCCTAAAATGTTGTTATT